AATATTATAAATAATTTTAATTATTAAATAAAATTGTAGGCAAATTTACTTACAAAATGCTTAAAGAGATATTAAATTAGTTTTAACTTTTAAATTTATAAAGAGAAATAATATTATTATTAATTATAATAATATATAATAAGCTTAAATTAAAAATATTAAAGAAAAATAAAAATTTAGTAATAAATTATAAGATTATTAAATAATTATTTTATTATAATATGAATAAATAAAATAATTTGTCTAAATTGAAGCATAAGATATTATACTTTTAGGAAATATGAAAATTTTAATCATGTAAGTCTTTCTGTTTATTATGTTACATCTACGATAAGATCAATAAATAAAAAAAATAATAAAAATAAAAATAAAATAATAAAAATAAAAATTTATTTATTTATATTTATTAATTTAAATAAAAAATTTCACTTTAGATTTAAGTGGAAATGTTTCTAGGAAAATCAGATTCTGAAAAATTTTTGATTAAATTTAAGAACTTAGTACATTTTAATTTAATAATATCAAAAACTAAAATGCAATAAAAATCTCAATTTTGCTAAAAAATTTTTGAAACCTGATTTTTTTAGCAATCAATTCAAATGGTTTCTATTTTCTAGTTATTAATAATTCTTTTATAATATATTAATAAATTAATATAAAAATTTATTATAAATAATCAGAGTTTTTTTAATTATATAAAGAATAGTTTTAGATAACTAAATTAAAATCAATAAAAATTTATTTAAATAAGTATTTTTAAGCATTTATTAAATTTTTATGTGATTTATTAAATATAAATATATATATTCTTATTTATTTATTAAAATAACTTTATTTTGAAATATGATTGAATATAAGAACATATAATTATATTCTTTTTATTTATATATAGTCAGATCTCTATATAGTCATATTGCATATAATTATACCTTTATATAAGAATACATTTTTGTGAAATAGATTTAAAGTTTATTAAATTATCTTTTTATAGTTATAAATCAATTATAGTTACTATTACATATATTTTATTAATATATATATCATTTTTATTAGAAAATTACTTTTTTATAATTATAAGGTTTTAATTGATTTATATAAAAAATCTGATTAGCTACAAATTAGAATTTAAAAAAGTTTGATAAAATTAATAATCAAATTTTATATAGATTTTAAATATAATAAATATACTTAAAATATAACACTTTTAAAATATAACATTAGAAAATCAAATTTTTTTAATTTTATAGTGATAGTTTTTTTTCTTATATTATATTAAAATATTGAATAAAAAGAGAGATATTTAATATTAAAATGTCATGCTTTTGTAAGAAATATCAAAATTTCTTTTTTTAATAAACCTTTTTTAACATTTATATTCTTTACTTTAATCTAAATGGTATATTTTTCCCTATAATGCTTGTTGACTATTTATAAAAAACCATTTAGTAATAAGTATTAGCCTTAAATATTAAATTTGTGAATAGTTAAAAAATAAAAATAAAAAATAAGAGAAAATTAGTGATCATTTTAATAAATAAAATCTAACTTTAAGCATTAATCATAGTATTATATTAAAAATAGAGTGCTATATTAGAAAATAAAGGTTCTAAAGAAATTTACAAATAAAAAGGAGTCAAATTTTCAGAATTTGACAGGATTATGAATTTGTGAATAGAAAATGTAATAGTAGGTAGTGTAATCTTAATAGATTTATTAATAAAAAAAATATAAGTTTTTTTGTTAATGCATTTAATATACAAGAAGATATGTTAATATTTCTAATAGTTAATTAGATAGCTTTAAAAAATATAATAATATCTGCTAGTATCAAATATATAAAGAATTTAGAAGTACACTAATAGCATCTTTATTAGAAGAAAGAATTAGATATTATTAACTTTTAAGTTAGTATATTTTTGATTTATAATATTGATAAAACAGATCTTTATTATTAAATATCTTTAAATCAAACACTTTTGACTAAGTTCAGTTTGTGATAAGAATAAGGACAAATGTGAATTATAGTTCTTTTTAGTATAAATATAATAAGAACTAATAAGTTTAAATTATGGATAATTGGTAATACAAAATGTCTAAGATCTTTTTCAAAAATTAATCTACAATAGCTTTTAGTCTATTATAGAAATTTAAAAACATAGATAAACTTAATGATTTTTAAAGAAGTTCTTTATAAATTAAATAGTTATTTTAGAGCAAAAAATAAAAAAAAATCTTGCTTTAAGTTGATAATAACCATCACATTTTGATTCACATTATTGCTAACTAAATAAGATGAAAATAATGGTGAAGAGATTAAATTAATATTTAAAAAATTTTTATATAAAATTTTAATATAACTTACTATTAGAATTTATTATTAGAGATTTAATTATAAAATTATAGTTTATTAATTATTATATATTTAGTTTTTTTGTTACATAATTTTTTTGTTATATATATATATATTTTTGTTATATATTTTTATTACATATTTTTCGTTACATATTTTTTATTACATTTTTTTACATATTTTTTTTGTTATATATTTTTTATTATATATTTATTGTTATAAATAAAATTTATTTATTATTATATATTAGATATAATATAATTAGCAAATATTTAAATAAAATAACTTATCTAAATTTTTATATAGAAAATTGAGCTTCAAGAAATTATAATTGTAAATTTAAAAATTGTAATAAAGATTATAGTAATGATTGTAATAGAAGTTATGGTAAAGGCTATTATAATAGTAAATCAAATAATTATAAATCTGAAGATTGCAAACTTAATATTTTTCAGTTTCAATTAACTCATATTGAAGTAACTTTTTTACCTTTTAATATCACAAGTCATTTTTAACTAATTGATATTAGAATAATTGCAACCTTTAAAAACTATTATAAAAGGAATTTTTACCATTATATATTAAATCTCTTTGAAGATAAAAAAAATATTAATAAAGAGAAAATCAATATTAAAGAGACAATTTATTATTTAGTATATGCATGGGATAGATACTAAAGAAATTATATATACTATTGAAAAAAGACTAGAATCTTACTTTCTTTAACTGATAAGGATATTGATAATACAACTCAAATTTAACAAAATTTTACAGATTGTAAAGCATTAAATGTTAGTCAAATTATTAAAAAAATTGAAAAATTTAGTGATGATTTTTATAATATTTTTATTAAAGAATGTATTAACTGATTTCTTTTATGAATTAGAGAATATTCTAACTAAAGATATTCTAATAATAATGATATTATACAATTTATTTAAGAGGAAATGCATGATAAAAATAACATTAATAATAATTTTAAAAAAGAATTATTACTAGTATCTTTAAATAAAGTTTAAAAGTTCTTACAAACTTAAATTACATTTTTTGATCAGTAGCAATTAGATAAATTTAGTATTAAAGATGATTAAATTTTTAAAAATACTTAAAGACAATAAAGCAGCTTAAACTTTAATCATGAAAGTAAGTTTCAATTACTGATTTCTTTAGCAGTCATGAAAATTAAACTCAAATAAAACATAAAATTATGTAATTCAATAATTGATAATAATAAAACATTGATTATAACTAGAAATAAATATTATTAATATATTTTATTTATAAAACTAATTAGGGGTTAAAATCAGTTACTAATCATTCAGATCATTTATATAAAATTAATTTGAATTAGTTTAATAGTTAAATTAGATTAATCATATTGAATTTTATGTTATATATAATTCTATTTCATTTAGATATCTAATTTTAAAAAATTATATAGATATTTAGATGACTATTTATAATACAGTTCTAATTCTTAAAACTAATTCAACCTTTAAATAGTTACTATATATATATTTTTTTTAATATAATTGTAACTATATAAAGGTAACTTTTTTACAATTACATCTTTATATAATTACTTATTTTTATGAAACTAATCATGTAATTATAGAGATCTGACTGTATTTATTTAAAATATATATTATTATAATAAAATCTTCAAGTTTATTTTTAATTTAAACTTATGATTTATAAATAAATATATAGTGAATTTTTATTGTAATATAATAATATTTGTAAATTTAAATTAAAATTTTTATGATATATATATTATTAAATTAATCAGTTAATACTTAATTAATTAAATATTTTAATTCATTTAATAATAGTAATAGTAATATATAATAATATTTTATAATATTAAAAAATATATTATTTGAAATTATTTGATTTTATAAAATATTTATTGAATTTAAAATACTTTTTAATAAAATAATTTAATAATATATAAATTACTTTTAAAAAAAATTATATAAATAATAATAAATAAAAAGTTAAAATAAAATTTATTATTATTTTAATATTAAAAGTTAAAGTTATTTTTATAAATAAAAAATTTTTAATAAAGCTAATATTTAAGTACTATAATAATATTATAATTATTTATAATAATGAATTATAAAAGATTAATAAATAGAAAAATTTTCTTGATATTAGATAATATGAATATTTTACCCTTTGATCACATGCTTTTATAGCTTAAAATTTATAAAATAAAATATTTATTTTTTTACAAATGCTAAAAATGAAAAGTAAATGGAATTAACAAAATTTTCCAAAATGAAATTCTTAAAAAAAATTCAATGATACAAAAGGGTAGAAATATAAAACCTTAAATTTTTATACAGCCGGCGTTAGCCAGCCAGGTTTCCTGTGATCAATGCTAGCAAAAAATTTGTCCTTTAGACAAACTCTTTACCAATACTAATTGTAAGAACTCTTAAGTAACTCTATTCAAATGTGACTTTAAAACTTAAAACATGTTTATTAATATTATAGTCATTCTTATTTAAATAGCAAAATTAAACACTTTTGTTCTTTACAAAGTATAAATAAACTCATTCTTTAACTGAACTTAATTCTAAATATTCTCTTTATTATCCATTTTGTTTTCATTCTTTTTAGGATAATTTTTTAAATCATAGTACTAAGATTTATAAGTAGCATATTTTCTTTTATTTTTCTTTCTCTCCTCATATGCAAATTTATCTTTACTATTTAATCTTTTAGTGTTTTCAATGGCTGATAAATATCTTTTATTAGCAGGTCTTCCTTTTCCTTTATATTGAATTAGGTTTGCAATATTTAAAGTTTCATTTTCTCTATCTGTTGAAATTCTATTTTATAATGATAAAGAATTTATTTAGTTTTCAATAAACTGCTATATAAGCCTCTCAAAAGCTTGATTTAATTTATTCTCAATTACTAATGTTAAAGCTTTTTTATAAAACCCAAAACCTCAGCTATACAGATCTTTCTTTGAATTTAACTCTTTAATAGGTCCACTATATACATCTTTTTCATAAATAATATTTATCATTTGAAAAATTCCAGTTTGCTGCTCCTTATTCTAAATTAAATGAATTGAATTTTTATTTATGTTTTCTATTAATGCAAGTCCTTCTTTAGAATATCATCAGAAAGGTGTTAGTTTAATATTAAATTGTGTTATTTTTGATTGTAGTATCATAGCAAAAAAATGCCTATAAACAAATCTGACATAAATCAAATAGAGGTATATATAGTAATGCATGCTATCATTGAGAATTAAAATAAACTGGAATCAGTTAGTTATACTTTGAAGATGTTTAACTTTTTAGATTTCTTTCACAATATCATCTGTATAATTTTCTAGAATCATATTAAGTAAAACTTGAGGTTGCTCATAATCATCTTTTATAAACCCTACATTATACTGATTTATGTTTTAAATTGCAAAATATTAATCACAATTTTACATTTGATAAATAGAACTATATAAATCCTTACCTGTATTGCTATATCTCTGATTTCCTTTCTCCATATTCTATACAAAATACTTTCCACCATTTGTTTTTATTATAAAGTTAGAGAATTTGATGTAAGATACTTCTTACAAATTTCATCAATAGATTTGAAAATAGTTTCAGAAACTTAAGACATTCCTGTAGTAGGATTCATATTATGAAATTTTTGAAATCTTGAATACCTAGTCTTATCTTTTAGGCATAATTCAATTTCTAAATGGAGCTAGCATAATGAACTTGCTGAATTAGCTTCCATTTTTATTATATGATTTATATTTTCTACTTATTAAGTTAAATGTGTATTTATTGAAAAATTGTATCTAATAAACCTATATGTCCAATAAGTCTTAGTAGGATATAATACACATTCACAGTAATTTTTAACTTCTGAATAGTTTGTTATTAGTTCACCCCAATGATTTTTAAAATCTGAAATAATATAAGAATTTCGAATTTACTAATAAAAGTATCCCATTTGCTGTTTAATTTTCGCTTGATCTTTTTAACCAGATTTTGTTAAATATGAAATGCATAATGTCTCACAATTATTTTAGGATATTGATTATATAATGCAACTTGCCTTGCAGAATCTGCGTCTGTGAAGATTATTACAGGTTAAAGTCTACTAATAATTTGTAATATTTGTTCTAAAATCCATTTATAGGTTGATACAGTTTCATCACAAACTATTGCAGTTGCTACAATTTGACTTTATTGATCAGAATCTATTATGATAAACACATTTAATAATATTAAATATTTGTTAGTTTTATAAGTGTTATCATTTATAATAATATTATGATATTGAGTTTACATTCTTCTTTGATCCAGTGACATCCAAAAAATTTTGGATAGTCTATTATCAATACCCTCAAAATCCACTTTAAAATACCATTCAGGATCTTCTGCATGTAAGTTTATCAAATTTTCAAGTAACGTTATAGCATTATTCTTAATTTGTGCATTAAATTTAAATTTATATATTGTATTATGAAGATCTTTATTGTAAATTTTATGATCAAGGTATTTATTTTGTAAGATTCTTTTTAAAACAGTAGCTCCCAAATGACATTCTTTAACATAAAATTGTATTTCTTCTATAACATTATTTGGAATCTTTCATAATGCTGATGAAATCTTTTAAAGGGTAATTATATTTTGTAATGCATGATTGTATTTACTAATGAATTTGTTAATAAATACTAAATTTGAACATTTATAATATAATGATTTATTATCAGTACGAGCTGATTTCTTGTCATGATTAAGTGTAAGATCTACCTTTTTCTTAGGTATATATTTACTACCATAATGACATTTGTATATTTTTCTGAACTATATACCTTCTTCTTTTACAGATCTGATTATCCTAATCTCAAAGTCTGTTTGGACAGTATATTGGTTTAAGTATTTTTTGAGTACTTCAAATGATATAAATGTTTATCTAGTATATATTTCTTTTAATACACTATCATCAGGTTTTATATCAGCATCATATGCTTTATATAAATCATCATTTTCGTCATATACATCATATATAGGGTGAGTAAAGTTTTGAATATCATTCATCTAAATAAATGTAGTTAATAAAAGCCAAATACCCAAAGGTAATAAAAAATCTACAAAAATTACTTACCTTTGGAAGATTTGAAGTTGCTAAAATAGTTTTTATAAAGAAGGTAAATTTCATGAAAAGAAGAAAGAAAGAAAGAAAGATTAATTAAATTGATTACAAATCAATTAAAAGTTTATTTTAACAATGTACAAATCATATAATTAGGGAGGGTAGAATATGTATATCCATTGGTACATCACTAGTTTTTTCTAATAAATATTTATTATTTATCATATTTATATACTTATATTATAATATAGGACCTTTGCAATAGAAAAGAAGAAATGGTTGGAAAAAAAAATAAAAAATGAATTAATGTTAAATCTGAACATATTTTAATCTAAAAATCATAGTTGGTATATAAAAGTAAAATTGATATTTTTCGGATGTTTCTCCCTTTCTATTGTCCCTTTCTATTGTATTACATTATTATGTTAAAGGTTTATAAAAGCTATATATATAATATTATTAAGTTTATTTTTGCCTGCAAATTATTAAGTTTAGCTTAAGTCATGTGACTCACGTGATGCAATTTTAGGTATATCAATCATTATCAATTATTTGTATTATTTTCAATCATGATTGTCGAATTTGTCTATAAATCAGAAACTGAGTTTGTTTATTCTTTTTTTTCATTGTTTAATTGTAGATCGTTTAATAGATCTATTATTCGAAGTTCTCGATCGTATTACAATGAGTTATGCAGGCCTATTTTTTGGAAATTTTGACGAGGAGGGACAACTCGAGGGTGCTGGTTTCGATGAAGTACTTGTTTATGCAATTTGCAATCAACGTATTTTGAATAAAAATTTAGGTGATTTTAGCAAACACTTACCGTTTTTATATGATTTATCTAGGAAGTTCGAGAAAGTTTGCAGAGGGTCGCAGGGGAAACCGATGTTTTGAACGAAATTTTTTCGGTTCGTTCATTGGGTATTGACGATAAAGAAGAGGAGGATGCAATAAAAAGTGAAGTATCAACCCAAACTCCAGTACAAACACCTGGTGACTCAAGTATTAAGCCTGAGGAGGATGCAATTGATTATTCAGATTTCAATGAACTAGCTGATGAAACCATGTTTTCAGAAAAGTACTATCAACAAGGGGTTAATAGTGTTATAAACATCAAAAGATCATTATCTTTTCCGCCATTACAACTACACAGTTTAGAGTCACCTGGAAAAGAAACGGATCCTAAAATTTTTGAAGATCCTTTATATAACTTAAACAAAAAATCGGATATTTATAGCGTGGCCATGAAGGAAACGTTACAAACTGACGAGCTTCAGAAAATTATTTCAACTTTCACAGCTACTGCTCCTCTACAGAATTTACCTATTATGGATAACGAATCTCAAAAAGTTGTAAAGCAAAGCACTGAAGAAACAAAATCGGAAATAAATATAAAGACGTTATATCCTGCTTTCGAAAAAGATAGAATCTTGAAGTTTTCAGAATTATTTGCAACTAAGCTCACACAGCGTAAATTACATCAATTGAATATACATGGTATTGCACCCTATCATGCTTTGCGCTGCTTTATTTATGTATTTATTATATAATTTACATTAATTTATTAAATTTGATTATTATTAGCCGAACCACAATCAGAGTTCAAATTTGCAAAAGATGAACGAGAACTATTTGAATCATTAAAACAATTTGATGCTTCAGCTGAAGAGAAATTTGAGGAGTCAGAAGATATTATTGAGCTCGTTTCATCTTCACCAATGACTCAAATTTCTGGTGGTAGCATGTATGGAAGTGATTTTGAAGCGGAAGTTCATAATGTAATAGTTTTTATAACGATAACTCAATATGAATTAACTTTTATCAATTACAAGACTAAATTATTGTTATTCCGGTATGTAATAAATATTCTAGGATAAACTCTTTGAAACAGAAAAGTTATCTTGGAAAATTCCAGAAAAAAATAATGCATATTATTCTATTGTTATGGACACTTGGGAAGATAAGATTTTGTGGGATAGCGATGATGAGGACCATGCGAGGTATGGGCAGCTGTTTAATATATAAACTTATTAAATGACATTAAAAATGAATTCTTTATTCATAAAAATGTTACAAATTTTTTTAGCCTTGACATGGATTATATATCTGAGTCAGAGGTATTCATTATCCATATCGAAATTCATAAAGCTGAAGTGTTTTATATTCAAAACTTTTTTTAATAATATTAATTAGGAATCTAATGCTATAATGGCTTATCGAAATACTGAATTGGAAAGTGGGGAGTGGATTAATCATATTTTATGGGATGATTATAATGGACCTATCCCTTTTGCTAAATTAACATTGGACATGAATGATCCAAATTTGCTTTTTGATTATTCTGCCCTTGAACCACCAAAACCAATGGTTTCTGATTTATCAGGTATATTCAAAGTTGTAATCCCTTAAATAGATAAAGTAATTACAAGCTCATGTTCTTATTTATATATAAAGGCAGAAAGATAATTAAATATAATCCACCAAAGGTTTTTTTTTTTATTTTTGTTGGACAAGTTATCATAAATCTTTGGTACTTTTAGTTAACTCTTCCATTACTATATGTAGAAGCCTTTCGGATTGCCCTATAAACCTGAAAGACGAGTATTTCAAAGACGACTTAATTTTGGGCGAATGTACATTCAACATTCCTTACCTGCCCTTCAATTACATTCACAATATGTATGTTTAGTTTGAGGAAATTGTATATGTTAAATTATATTTTTTAATGAATAGTCACTTAATATTATATATATTAAAGTTCAAAACAAAGTTCACTAAATCGGATATTCGGGCATTACATCGTCCATCAATTCAATTTCCTCTTGAACAAGAAATTCATTTTAATAAAATGAAAAAAATCAAAAAGAAAAAATTGAGAAATCGTGAGGCTATGAAAAAACCAAAAGATTTAACACTCAAAGATAAATCCGATTACGTTTTATTTGAGTATTCGGTATGTATTCATAGTCTCTAACTTATTGTTGTTTTGATTATATAATTATATTGATTTAAGAATTTATTAACGCTTTATGTACTATACTGTTCATTAGGAGGAATATCCACCAATATTATCGAACATCGGAATGGGTACTTTATTACTTAATTTTTATAGGAAAAAAGATCCAAAAGATTCATTTTTGCCTAAGGTTATTAATTATTGTTATGTTTTACAAAAATTGTTCTCAATTTATAAATCTCGTCAGAAATAAACAAGATCAGAAACTAACAAAATTTTATTTATAGCTTGATATAGGTGGTCCAGTTGTACTTGATGTGATTGATGAATCACCATTCATGAATTTTGGTAACGTGGAAAGAGGACAAATCATATCCGCATTATATAATAATTTAATTAGAGCGCCGTTATTTAGGCACGATGTCAATGATACA